CGGGGTGGCGGGCCGGGGGGGGTTATGGGCACAATCTCTGGAAACGTCTCCCTCCCCTCCCTTCTTCCCCTGGGCGTCCTCAATCTACCACCTGGCTTTCTCTCCCCTGTAGGCACCTGTGGGACACCTGCTCTGCTGGGGGAGTGAGTGAGCGATCGTTTCTGCGCTCCCGGAGCGCCTACCACGCAGGTGTGGCCCAGGAAACGCGTGAGACCAAGACAACGTGCCTTGAGTTGGATGCAGCTGCGCGCTGTGGAAAATAGGGAGGCAGGAGGTGGGTGTCCTCTTACGTAGCAAGACAGGGGCGGGCCTCTGTGGGAAGGGGCATTTGAGTGGGACCTGGGGAGAGGTGGGGAGCAGGGTGGATGTGTGAGGGGACTGGAGGGGATGGCAGGTGCATGCTGGGAGGAGGAGGAGTCCACCGGTAGGAGGTACGGGTGGAGCTGGACAGGCTCTGGCCCGTCTGAATATGCCGCCGGGACGTGTGCCCCCCTCTCGCCAGCAGCCTGAGAACGAAGCCCCATTGGCAGAGCAGGAAGAAGGCAGGAACCTGGTCTCCCGAAGACATGGTTGATGCCTGAATCCCCGGATCCTGGGGCTCATCGCTTACTGTTCAACCTGGTCGGAGTTTGGTTTGTTGACCTCGGAGGCAGCTTAACGTAGGTAATTATCTCCCCAAGTCCAGCCATCTCCTCTGACGAGTTTTATCAGTGTCCTTGAGAATTCTTCACATCGAGCTTTTATAAAGATTAAAAATTCCTTATTTTACTTTGGTGCATTGCCCCTTAATGGGCACAGTAGGCCCACTAATTACAGGATACCTGATGAGCGGTGTGGACTTCTCAGTGGTCTGGAGCGGGAGGTCTCAGGGATGGGTTGGTGACGTGATTTTCCGAAGGGTCTGGGCTCTCTCTACCCTTCTGCATAGCTGTCCTCAGCTGGTTAGCTTTTTATCCATGGATTTGTAGCTTCATGACTGCAGAATGCTTTCCACAGCTCCACATGTCTTTACATGCTGAAGCAAAAGGCAGATAGGGAGTAAGTTTTAGGATGCACATTTTTTTTTGAGCTTATTGGTATGTTTTAGGGATACAGTACAGTTACAGTCATCATTGGGTTCTTGTACTTTTACATGACAGGTCTTGGTTCTCATTTTTTCCTCACACCCCTGCCCACCCTTCACCCCCTCCACCCTTCCCTATTAAAAAGACTTTGTTTCCATATTTTGTTCTTTTCCCTTATTACCTTTCCCCCACCCTTCCCACTTCCCCTACACCTTTAGCCCTTTTCTCCCTATTTCACATTGCCAATTATACCATTTGGATCTTATTTACCCTTTTAGTTTTTCACACCAGAGAAACCATTACGTATATCACTTAAGCTTATGGCCTCAATGCAGGGTGCACCTGTTTTTGTTTGTTTCCTCAGGGACGGAAAATACTTTCCAGAATTTCTTCCTCACACCCTTCTCTGCCCCAGAACTTCCCTTCTGTCTTATTGGCCAGCCCGGTGCCACACTGGCAAATGTGGCTCAGCAAGTCTGGAAAGTAAGTGTCTGCCTTTTCCCAGTCTCCATTGTAGTGCTCCAGTCTCTAAATTAGGACTAGGTTCAACAGCATAGAACAAAACCCAAGATGACAAGAGAGAAACATTTCCTACGTAATGTGTTGGGGGGTGGTCATCAATTTGTGGGCGATCCTGATGGACCCATGAAGTTATTAGGGATCCAAGCCTTCTCTAGATCTCTCCTTCTGTATCCTGGGGATGTTGCCCCTTGTTCTCCAAGTTCAAGATAAATTCTAGACATTACCAGAAGCTCCCTTTTATGGATTTCCACAGGGCAAGAATTCAATCATAGTCTTAGTTGCAAAGGAGGATGGGAATGCAGTTTTTGTTTAGGGTGGCTTGGTGCCAGAATAAAAATGAGGATTTTGTTGTTAGGGAAGATTTTTTTTTTTTTTTTTGTACCGGGGATCAAACTCAGGACATTGCTCTTGCAAGGCAGGCGGTGGAACCACTGAGCTAAATCCCAGGCCCTAGGGAAGATTTTTGTTTGATGTTGGGGCCCCAGAAGCAGGCAGCTGTGTGCAAATGCTATGTGAAGGAACTGCTCCCCAAGTCCAGTAAGTAACTAGGAAGCTGTCCAAGCGAGGATCACAGAGTGGCAGGAAGAATGGACTCAGTGTGATCTGCAGGGGAGCTCCAGACTAAATTACCCCGCAGAGCCGTCTCACCCAGGCTAGGGAGCTGGACTTCCATCCTTCCACACCTGCCAGTCATTGGCCAATGGCTGTGCTGGGCGATATGAGGTATTCAGGCCTCCTGTAGGTACTAGGAAGGGGAACAAGAGTAGCCCTCTCACAAGACTGCCAGAACCTCAGGAGAGAAGCTAACGCATGGCATGCCGGGAGATAGAGGTAGATGCAGAACGGGAGCCGGGAACTCTGCAGAGCCCGGCAGGGTTTGCACAGGGGTGAGGAGGGTGAGAGGCAAGCAGCAGCTTCTAGCACTTAGGCAGGGAAGGGACGGGAGGCTGTGACTGGTGGCCACGAGTGCTGGCCGTGCAGCGCGCTGTTTGTGCATGATTTTCAGTAGTGACGTTACTTCCAGCTGAGGCAGCTCCAGGCTGATCAAGAATGCACATTTTTAATTTTTGAAACTGCAACTTTCATTGTATAAACGGATTTTTCTAGAACATAGAGTATTTCCTTCACTATGACTGTTTACATGCTTTGTCTGTCTTTGGGGTTGCTGGCTTTCTGATGGATTTGTAGCCAACCTTTCAGTACCAGAAAACTAGGCCTCAGTGTACCAGGTGTGTCACTAGTATGTTTTTCTTAGTTCATATCCAATGTATTTATCACTCTTCCGTATGAAATATTATATGCCCTCTTAATTACACATGTTCTCCAAAAGGGCCATTTTCTTAACTCACATGGACCTCTTCCGGCCCAGGCCACTCCTCCTGGGCGCTGTCTAGAGACTGCCTTCCAGGAGAGGAGGAAGGTCTTACCCAGACGGGTCTGCCCGCAGGTGTGTTCCCATGAGTGTGTGCCGTACTACGTCCTGCTGCTTAGTTCCTTCCCTGATGCTCAGGTAGCCGTGAACATCTAGAGAAGCTAGAGAGCTTCATTTGTATTTTTAAAATGTATTGGAGTGTGACGCTGTGATGACATTTCATCCGTCCATTCATGGTGTGGGGAATGGACCCCAGGCCTTGTGAGTGCTGACTGAATAGGTCTCAGGATCTGTCATCGAGCCACACCCCCAGCCCTAAACTGTACTGACTTTTAGTCAAAAAGATACTAGAGAGGGTGAGAGTACATTGATAAGACCAGTTTGGTGGTTTGTTTACAATGTCTGTCTAATTAGTAACACCTCTGTGTCCAGAATTCTGCCTTTAGAGTACAAAATAATCAATTTACACATGTACACAAAGAGGTATGTACGAGCATGCTCATTCCTTGTTTGTATGTTGAACTACTTGAGGGTACAGAGGCCAACGTCTCCTTGTCTGTTCTGCCTTGCTTAGGATAGTACCTGGTACACATGGTGCTAATACCCGTCTTTTTAAAGAGTGAAGAGTAACAGGCTGGGAAAAAAATCTAAGTTCCATAGTTGAATAGTTATAGTAACTTCACGGAGTGGATTATAGTAAAGCCATTGAGGATATAGATCCAGGCGTGTTGCTATGGAACCATCTTTAGGGTATTGTGCTAACAGGCAGTGAGGGGCAAATTAGGGCAAACATCGTGCTGCTGTTTTCTTGGAAAGGGACAACACACACATACATGAATGCATGAAAGAGTGGAGATTTGCAATGGTGCGCTCTGAAAAGGTTCACAAGAATTGCAGCAGGAGGACATAAGACAAGAGTGGAAGAAAAACTTCATCTGCCCTTCTGCAGTGAGTTGTAATGTGTGTTACCTATAAGAAAAAGCAAGAAAGAAAATTTTTATCTTCTAATAATGTGTGCTACCCTATTGTAGGTCAGTAAAAAAATGAAATGTATTTTAAATTTTGCAGTACTGGGGCTTGAGACGAGGGCCTTTGCAATGAGCTCTATCTCAACCCCCGCCTTTTCTTTGACAGGGTCTTGGTAAGTTGCCCTGGCTGGGCTTGAACTTGTGGTTCTTCTGCCTGTACTTACCAGAGTGCTGAAGTTATAGACACGTCCTACTGTACTTGGCTGAAATGTGGAATTTCAGCATGCACTTCATACTAATATCTCCCGTCGTAGAAAGGCCCACCACTGCACAGGGGCTTTATAATTCTGTCTTCTTTACTAACCATATAGCTAATGCTTGTTTCCTTCTTCAAGCTTTCCACAGTCTTCTTTTGCCTCAGGCCCAGTCATCTTTCCCCACAGTAAAGCTTCCAGGAAAGGAGGTGACCAGCTAATTTATACTGCTCCTGGGGAGTGTGTTTTCGTGTAACTAGAGGCAGTCTCACGAACCGACTGCAGGCACCGGCAGCTCTGCGGTGTGCTAAGTTAGGCACCCAGCCGCCCTTGAATGTATGTGTCTACCTGCTTCTTCCGGCTCCTGTGACACACAGAAACCAGAGAGCAGAGAAGGGCTTGGAGAGGTGCTAGCTTTTATTTCCTTGTCTTAGTGCAGGCTGCCATAAAAAAACCCACAGACTGGGTGGCTTATGCAACAGAAACGTGTTTCCTCTCAGATTGGAAATGGAAGGTCAGCAGGATCGAGGTGCCTGCTGGTTCACTTCCTGGTGATCATCCGCTGCCAGACTGGCATGCTGTGTCCTCTCATGGCAGAGGGAGAGGGCAAAAAACCTGGCATCTCTCTTACGTTTCCTTAGCCAAGCTTCAAGAATTCACCAAGAGCAGGTGAGGTTGAGTGGGCCTCCCAGCAGCTGTCCCTTCTTTCTTCTGGTGTCGCTCTGCCTAACGATGCCCGTGTACTCCCTGGGGGACCTGGCTAGGTTCTCACTGCCCCCCCAATTTCCTTCCAGGTCATTGTGGAGAAAGAGAGAGAGGACCAGAGCTCTTTTCTGGGTGAGTTATAAGGAGCTGTAGATCTTGGAGAGGAGGTCTTGCACTCTTGAGAGAACGTGCTCTCCCATCAACTTCCTCTCCTGTGAGAGGAAGCCTCTGCACACATCATGTTGCCTCCCTACAGGGAAAAGTGCATCTCATCTGGTTCCTTGATGCACATCTTGTATCTTTTAAGGGGAACTTTCATTTAAGTTAGGCCTTGTAAATGTGCACATTCCCTGTGCTGTGTCCTCAAACCCAGAAAGTTGGTCTCCACACCCTTGAAGTCTCTTGTCTGTTCTCCGAGAGAACACCATGCCTCCCTGACCTTTCCCATGAAGGTGCTTGGGACTCGCAGGGGAATTCACAGTGTCTTAAATATTGTGCCTGTGACCTGCCTGACTCACACTGGCTGCAGTGAGACACCAGAGATGGTGTTTTCCTTGGGAGTAAGACTTGGGGCTGGAGCCTGAGGTGCTACACTCACACCTCCCTCCTCTCCAGGGAAAGGCAAAGCTTGCAGTGCAGAAACTCTAGAGTAGCGATCATGAGCCTTTTAGAGCTTTCAGTGGTAACAAACAGCCAGCTGCTGCACATGGGCCGTGGGTGCGCCACCATTGGTGTAGAGCCTGAAGACCTGGGCTGTGGTGAACGGCCAAGTAGAGTTTTCTAAATCTGCGAAGTAAGGAGGAAGCCTTTGCAGCTGAATCCGGTGGGACTGAATTCTTTGAGCTTGCAGAGCTAGAGATGAGATTCTTTCGAAAGGGTTGCCGCAGGAAACAGGGTGGTTGCGTCTACTGCAGTCACCAAGGATGAATTTCACATGACATAGTTTGGGAAGAGACTAACTGGGGTATGTTTGGAAGCCCCAGAATTCTAGCGGATAAGGTAACCGACAATGTCCGATACAACTTGCAGATGAAAATAATCAGTGTGTGTGCTAGATAGGTGTGGCTTTCTGGGGCTTCACATGTAACAAGTGTTGCAGAACTGAAATTTTGACTTAATTTAAATTGATTTAAATATATATAACCATTTATAGTTGGTTGTTACTATATTTAAGAGCATAGTCCGAGACAACAGACTTTTCAATGCAGCATTTATGTGAAGAGAGGGAAAATAGTATTTTGCAGAAGTGTGTTCCAGACGCGATGTTGGATGCTTTCTCTCTGAGAATGATCTCAGAAATCCCCACTGGTTAGAGGAGCAAACTGGGGTGCAGAGAGAGGTTAATATCTTCTCAAGTTTGCGTTAGCGGCAAGCACACAGAAGGGAATCAAACTCAGGTTTGGCCCAACAGGGACTGTCTTATACATTCCTCAACTGGGGAGAATCAAGGTGGGTTTGAGGGGTTAGGATTATGCAGCAAAATGAATTGAGGATAGTTGGCATTATTGCATTTCAGTGGAAGAATTCTGCAGAAGACAATCTTTAGAACCCAATGAAAAGGTCACTTTTGAAGGACAGTGGCTGTCTGTTACCATTAATGAGAGCCTCATTTATTCCAGTTAACACTGGGGACATGGACTAAAGCCTTGGCTCTGAGGCCGA